ATCCCTTTAAATCGTGCAGCAGCTGGCGGGAAAAACAAGCTTTGATTTATGTAAACCCCAGCAAGTCACGTGACTTTCAGGAAAGTCTGCCTCCCCATCTCATTTCTACCCACGCACTCTCCTAGCCTGCCCACTCCCTCCCTCTGCTCTCTCCCTTTTCCCGCTCCCCAAAGTGGCCTCAGATTGGCATGCAGCAGTTTGCTAAGAAAGAGGCCTGGGGAGTAGAAGAGAGGGAAGGAGGGAGTAAAAAAAAAAAAAAAAGAGTGAAACGCCACTTAAAATGACAAAGAAAAACAAGCTTCCTAACCCCTTCACTGCCAAAGGAATTTGCAGATCACAGCATTGCTAATCAATGCAGAGTCATTGTGCATGATATAAGCTAATAGCTGTACTCCTAAATGTAACAAGAGAGGTGAAAATAAAAACCTTACACACAACGTTATGACCTTATTATTATATCTAGCTAACTACTTGGATATATCTCTTCATTTCGTTTATTTGCACATCCCATTTTAACTTGTCATTATTCAGATAAGTGCATATTCTGTTCATGCAGAGACAGTCTAGGTTTGGATACAATTGCAGTAACAGTGTTACTGATCGTTACTAAGTCCATGGCAAGTTCCACCTGAATGGTTGTTGCAGTATTCAGAAACATGTTGGCATTAGGATCTCTGTAAATTGACTCTAATTTATAACGTTCCAAGTGATTGGAGTATGGAGACTGGGCAGGCTTAGTGATGGAGTTGTCCTTGTTTGCTTGATAGATCCTGCGTTGATACTCCCAATATTTTGTTCTGTAATGTTGTAATGTGTTTTTGTAATGGGTACTTTTTTATTAAAAAAATAAAATAAATAACATAACTACCTACATAACTTACACAAGTACAACATAATTAGTTTTTAAATAAGACCAACTTCCAGTAAGTATTCATGGATGTGTATATATCAGTTCTGAACATCTGGCACCCATACTTCAGTAAGGAAAAAAAATCAGTCACCAGTGCGAATTACAAAAAGTGAAAGAATTAGCACTCACTGCTGGGAGTTTTCTGGGACACAAAATAAATTTGAAGAAATGCAATAAACACGAAATCACCGTTTCAACCCACTCAGGGTCAAGGCGCGATAAAGAGCCTCATGCGTCAAAACATCGACCACTGCTTTTTGTACATATTATATGATATAACCGTTATTTCAACAGGCTCGTCATGTTTTCAAAACTCATACTGCACGTTTGGTGATGTCACCCATGCATTATTTCACATAATTTAAAATTTCATTCACCCATTGGATCCAGGGGGGAAACACTAGGCAAGTAGTTCCCCTAGGCTGTCTAACGGATGGAATCAACATGTTTTTCATTGTGTTATCCCGTGACCAACACCATATATAGATTCTAAACTATATATAGAATATTACAATCCTGACCATTGATGTTGGACCAAGGACCAGCGACCGGATATGTACTTTGCTGCTTCCTGTCACTGCTTTTTGCACCTAATATCTCCTAGTAAGTGGGACTTGCTTTAGAAGTGGAAGAGATGTGACATTATTTGCAGCCACCCACCATGAGAACTAAAAAAAAAAGATTATTGATTACATACTTTTCATTTCTTTTCTAAGATAACGACTGATAGGGAGCACATTGCTCCAGTAATCCAACATCGATATCACTAATGGTAGGGAATAAATAATTGCCCCTGACTAGTAAGGCTTAGGGGAAGAAGAAGGGATTGAAGTGATTGAAATATAGGTCGAAAAGTGTGAAGAGGAAGATGTAATGAGAGAACAGGTAAATAAAAGGTGAAATAAAAATAAAGAACAAAGTGGGAGGTTAATTTAAACTGGGCCTGTGGACATATAATGAAGTGGAAATGGGGAAGGGAATGTGGAGTCAGTTTTCATGGAATGAGTGGGTAAAATGACAATATAGAGACACATGGAGTTATGGGAAGGACATGGAAAGAGAGCAGAAAATGCTAAAATATGGAAAAATGGGAATTAAATATGTCAAAATTGCTTTCCTACATAGGGATATCAAACAGGAACTCTACACAGTCAATGGGATCTGTTGATTCTAAAAGACAGAACTGTGTATACAGACTTAACAAAAACATCTAAAGTCTAACAGACCACAAACACGGAATGAAAAGATGGAAAGAAGGATTTTCACATAGTAAAATACACTCTTTGCCTTCCAAGACTCAAGACGACAAATGGACATACATTCTGATTTATGTCGGCAGCATAATGTGTTTTGAGCATGAAGGGAACTATGACCAATGTGTTATTGAAATTGAACCAGAATTTTGAAATTGAAGATCTTAGGGACATCATTCACTGCCTCTAATAGTAAGAGAAGATGATAGAAGTTGTTTACTTAATCAAAAGCAAAATTAATTATTATTTATCACTGGTATTTATAAAGTGCCAACAGATTCCGCAGTGCTGTACAGTTAGTGGAGAACATACAATATACACAGACAAATACATAAGGTAGAGAGGGCCCTGCCAGTAAGCTGAGATCTAGCCATTTAAGCTCTTTTAAACAAAGTGCATAGCTAGATACAGAAGCGAATCCAGAGCTTGATCTTGGGAGGGGCACTTGTAGATTATTTAAACAAATAATCCATGTACAATAACCACTACAGCTCTGTGTAGTGGTTATGGTGCCAGGAGTGCTTGGAGCCCCTCCCAGAGTAAGTAGTCAAACCGTTTAAGAACAGTTTGACAACTGACCTTGGGTATGCTGGGATATGGGGCTGTAGTTGGGCATAGGAGCAGTGGTGTGTGTGAGTGTTGCAATGTGTGAGGGGTGCGGTATGTGTGAAAGGTGCAGTGTGTATTTGTGTAGTGTGTAGTGTGTGAATGTGTAGGGTGTGGGGGGGACAGTGTGTGTGTGGCAATTTGTGTATGGGGGCAGTGTATGTGTGTGTGGGGGGCAATGTGTGTATAGGGGGGGAGTGTGTGAATATGTATGTGTGGTGAAAGTGACCTCGCCACTGGTTTTTGGAGGGGCCTGTTTGCCTTCCTCCTGCCATGTGACTATGGCCCCTGAGATGTATTGCCCTTTAAAGAACTGAGTTGGGGCTTATGGACTTATATTATACTGTTACTGACCCTTTAAGAACTGTATTTGGGCATAATGGATTTTTATAATGCTGTTTCTGGCCCTTTGATTACTTTGGAGCAGTGTTGCAACTTTAAATTGGCACTTCGGATGCAGCCGAAGTAGTCGAAGTGGCCGCCATTCGACAAACGAACACGTGGCGGCAGCCTTCTTCATTCGAGGTCAGCGATATGTGTAGCCAAATCCATGGAACTGAAATCGGCTACACATTTCAACGAACACCGCTGACCGTTACCTTCTCCAGCACTGAGTTTTCATCCACAGAGACTAAGTCCCGTTCGAAGATTCGTCATTTTTTTCAGTGTGAAATTGACCAACTGCACAGCCCAAATATATGGAACTGCTTTGGGCAGGACAATGTGCTTGCGGTTGGTCATAAAGGACTTCCAGCTAACTCGTTAACCCCTGGATGGAATTGGCTGAATTTTGGATATGTTTGTAAGTAAAGTGTGCTGAGTTCGAATATGTAATTTATGAAGATTGAAGGTATATTTTTAAAGTTACAGTGTATGTGTAAAAAGTATATTTTTCCTGCCTGTGATAATTACTTTAACCCATTGTGTTCAGTATGGGGCCCAACACAAAGAATGCGCCCCGCCGCATGGCTGTGGGCGGGAAGGCACAACGAGCGGCTACATCTGGCTAGGCAGGACCGCGGCCGGGCAGGAAGGCAGAGCTGCAGCTGACATGGCGTCTCGGTGAGTCCGCCCCTGGTGGCGATACTGAGGGGCAGGGGGGTGGAGTACAAGGAAGCCGCTCGGGCAAGTGACCCCCTCCATTGGCAATGGTCCGGACGGCAGGATGAGGAGGGGTCTGCCCCGGAGGGCAATAGGCCCAGAGCAGAGGCATGGAGGGGGACGGATGGCGCTGCAGGCGCCGGGTTTTTCCAGGCCTAACAGAATGGCAGGGGAGGTGATCCGAGCCCCCCAGGAGGGATATAGTGTCTCAGGAGCAGTCCAAGCAGACAGTATGAGGATGAGGACAATGGGCAAGGAGCAGCTACCAGGAACCATGGAGGGGAAAGCAAGGCATGGAGACAAATGAGAGTGGGAGCCCCCTGGGGGTCGCTTCCAGGGTCTGCAGGACTGGAGCAATGGCAGGAGGCGGGGAGAGAGGAGTGAGCAGTGCAGTGACACCGACAGGTGCAGCATCCAAGGAAGCGGGCTGGAGAAGCAGGGATAGGAGCCGACCTAGGAGCTGTTGTTGAGATGGAGGCCCAGTATCAGAGTCAGGAAGAGGAGGTATCAACGCAGCGCTTCGGTTCCAACACACAGGAGTTCAAGAGGTTGGCGAAGGGATACCTGGGGACGGGACAACAGGCAATGAGGCAGCGCAGAGAAAGGGATAGCAGAAGAGATGAAGGGAGGGTAAGGCACCAAGTGGACAGGCTACCCAGGTTTTCTTCTCCCGGCAGGTTACGGAGTGTTTCAGCTGCAGCCACGAGGCGGAGCCAGGTGGACAGGAGTTGGTGTCAACAGGAGTCTCCGGAGACTGACAAGGCAGACGGAAAAACAGCACTTCATGGCCTTCCGAGGCTGGGGGCCCCGGCCGTGAGTCAAGAATTGCACCACACACTGGGAATTCACCGGGTTGATTAACATCAATTTTAGAGTCATGGCAGGAGAGGGGGTTTCATCACAGCGGTTCCGAAGGGTATTGTTCCCATAAGGTGGAAGGGAGATAGAGAATGGGTCAGAGGTGGCGACAACGCGCGGGATGAGGGGCGGTGAACCGTAAGAAGTTACACCAGTAACGGAGAAGGCAGACGGGTCAGGGGGCAGTCAGTAGAGGGCGGCGAGTTTACTGATGTGGTGCGGCAAAAAGTGCGCGTGTCCTGCGCGGGGCTTTTGGGGGGTGTCACTCGAAGATGGGAAAAGATAAATTTGGAATGGTCCTGATTCCTAATGAAGGTGCAGGTAAGGCGCTCTTTATGGGGGCGGCGATCCCAGGGGGCGCGGTGCTGGCCGGACAGCAGAAAGGTTTTTGCGAGAGACGCTGGGAGGGTCGATGCAACTGGGAACGTCGGGTAGGCAGGAAGCGAGTGTTCCGGATATTGGAGAGTCACGGTGTCATTGGGAGCGGCAAGAAAATAACTCCTAAGGCAGGTAGAGTACTCGCTGGGGCTTTAGCCCCGCGTTTGCGGATCAAAACGGCACTGGTGGCGATCCGGACGTCGACGCCGCTGGCTAAGGCAGTACGCCGCATAGGGAAAGGAGGCATCGACGCGGGCTGGTTCTGTATCTTAGGCATCATTCGGCCTTCCTGTCGAGTTGGTTCTGAGGAGCGGGACGCGTTTGGTTATTGGCGACCCTTCCATCTTTTGGATAGCATGTGTACAGGTGCCTATTGGTGAACTCTACTTGCCAAGGGGTGGTTCCATGTCATGTTCCTACGTTGGAAGTGGGTTCCGTTGGGCGGGGCGGGGGTGAAAGAGGATTCAGGAGAAGGTTCATTAGTACAGTGTCCGGGAGCTAGCTTGCTGTGGGCTCGGCTGGGCCAGGCCATGTTGGGCTTACATTACGGTCACGGGAATCCTACTGCACATCTTTGCGGGGTGAGTAACTGTTTTGGTGGTAAGGGATTGTCGACTGTCTAAGGACAGTTGAAGGCGCTACGAGAAGCTGGGCGATGGTTCACAGGTTCAAGGAGGTCACGCTGAGGAATTGCGGAGGCGCATAAGGCAGACTCAAATCCGCATGTCGGGTTAGTCACGGGGGTGGGTTTTTAGCCGTTGCAAGGGGACGGCTACTTGTGGAGCTTTTACGGGAGGCATTGAGTTGGTCACGGTTATCACTGGGGAACATGGTCTGCGGGGCATACCTGGACGACAGGTGGTGCGAGGCAGGGCCGGACTGGCCCACCGGGATACCGGGAAATTTCCTGGTGGGCCGTGGCACTTGGGGCCGCACAGAGCAGCAGCCATTCCTTTTCCCACCCAGTACACACACTCACATTGGGGGTACTGGGGAGCACAGGTCTCCTCTTACCTCTTGAAGAGGCTTTCCTTTATTCACTCACGAGCAGCAGGTGCTGGAAATTGAACTTTCAATGCTGCTTGCGAGTGAGACAATGAGCAGACAGCCGTCAGGAGGAGCCTCGAGTGAGTGCAGGGAGGGTGACAGTCTCTGTACCTGCCTGACAGCCTTCACACACGGGAAGCATGTGACCCGGCAATCAGGCAGAGCAGGGCAGCCCACGCGGGTCTTCTGAAGTCTTGCTTCCTGTGTGTAAAGTGCTGTCAGGCAGGGAGGCCGGTCAGAGAGCTGGAGGGAAGCTGCTGGGAAGGAGCAAGGTAGGCTCGGTGAGCAGAGGCACCTAGGCATTTCATTTTAATTGTACTGATTCTTAGAGTGTTTATATTTGAGGGTGTAGTTGTGAATGTGTTTGGTGTGTATTTTTGTAGTGTGTGTGTCAGTATGGATCAATGTGTGTGTGTGTGTGTTTCAGTATGGATCAATGTGTGTGTGTGTGTGTGTGTGTGTGTGTCAGTATGGATCAGTGTGTGTGTGTGTCAGTGTGGATCAATGTGTCAGTATGGATCAATGTGTGTGTGTGTCAGTATGGATCAATGTGTCAGTATGGATAAATGTGTGTGTGTGTCAGTATGGATTAATGTGTCATTATGGGTCAATGTGTCAGTGTGGATCAATGTGTGTGTATGTCAGGGAGTGTGTATGCATTAGTGATTGTGTGACAGTGTTTGTATGGGATGCAGCATTAGTTTGTGTGCCAGTGTCTGTTGATGAGTTTATGTCAGTATGTATGGGCATCAGTGACTACACGCCTGTGTGTGCCAGTGAGTATTTATTAATTAAAAATCCATGTGTCTGTCTATGTTTTTTTTTTAAATTTAAAATAAATTGAATCTAAAAAAAAATTATATATAGTTTTATATAGTTTTGCCTTATCTATGTGATTTGGTGATTTGTGGGAGTATTATGCATCTATATATTTGCACAAATGTATATTAATATATGTGTATTATATCAAAATATATATATGTTCAGCCCCCACGGTGATCGGCTGCCTGAGAGCAGAGACAGGCATTGGGATCACTGAGGATTGAGGCAGGCAGGCTGCTGGGGGCGGCCAGCTCATTTATTGCAGAGGGAAGGAGATGGGTGGCTGGCCCATGGAGAGCTGTGGTAGAAAAGGTGGGCAGCTGACGGAGGAGAGCAGCTGGGTAATGCTCCCTTGCGCAGCTTGCAGTGATTCACGGAGCTGAGTTATGATGTCACTCTGGCCCCCGGCTCACTAAACAGTGCGTGAGAGGGAGCCGAGTAGGGAGATGACAGCAGTGCTACTGGACCCCAGGGAAAGCATAATCTCTCCAGCTCTCTAAAGGTAAATTTTAATAAAAGAGTAATTACTTGTGAGTGAGTGTGTGTGTCTGTCTGAGTGTGTGTGTTTGTGAGTATGTCTGTGAGTGTGTGTCTGTTGGAATGTCGGTCTGAGTGTCTGTCTCTGTGTCTGTCTGTGAGTGAGTCTGAGTCGGTCAGTAAGTGTGTGTGTTCCCTCCAATCACATGGGAAAGGGTTTTGGGGCTGAAATCCTCAATCTTGACGATCTCAGCCAATCCAATGCTTCCTCAAAGCAAAGCATTGGGAGACTATTGCGCATGCACGGCAAAATGCCACTGCGCCAATTTACCTTCTCATAGAGATGCATTGAATCAATACATCCATATAGGGAACATTAACGTAAGGGCGGCACAGTGTGAAGCACTGACCCAGGAAGCACCTCTAGAGGCTGTCTGAGTGACTGTCGCTAGAGGTGTCACCAGGCAGCAATGTAAATACTGCCTTTTGACTGAAAAGTCAGTATTTACATTTAAAAGCGTTCAGGGTCAGGATATAGACTTCAGAGCAACTACATTAAGCTGTAGTGGTTCTGGTGATTATAGTGTCCCTTTAAGAATTGTATTTTTGACGTTGATTTCTCTGGCTCCTAACTTTTCTAGCTGGCTGCTAGATTCCAAACTAATTTGTAAAACTGTGTGTGTGTGTGTGTGTATATATATATATATATATATATATATATATATATATATATATATATATATATATACACACTCACACACACATGTAATCTTATGAATTATTATGGTTATAATATATATATACACAAACATCAGTATGATACACATATGTTAATAGACATATGCATACATAATACACATTTGGAGATTACGCACGTATATAAATGTAACAAGGATTTTACATTTTTCAAAGGGTTATTCACTAAATTTCTCATTTTAGAAAGTGAAAATCTAAATTGCGTAAATTAGACCAAAATAGCGGATTTGAAAAATCCAAACTTCGTCATATTGACAGCTTGAATATTATAGCCTAATTTTTGGAATTTATTCACAAAAATTATTAGTTTAGTCGATAACCCTGCCCCTCATTCTTTCATTCCCTGGTATCAAACTATATCCAATGCAGAGTGCACTCATAGGATTGAGGACTAAACAAAATAAGATTAATTTAAATTAGACATGCAGCAGCTATCAGTCAATGACTATTCAAGTTTTGGGGATGAAATGTTGGTTAAATAATTTTCAATTTTTGTATTTTTCCACCTGTATATCTGTCACAGTTGGCACAATTAATGTTAAGGCTGGTGTAAAAAAATTCCAGGGCAGCTTTTTATTCCCAGTCCGGCCCTGGTGCGAGGTGCGGTAGCAGGATGCAGGGAAGGTAAGTCATAACATTTGAAACTGGCATCTTTTGAGTTATTGAGGAAAGTGTAAAGGGTGGAAAGTCGTACTGCACAGAAAATACGGGGAGGTTATGCGGTGAACCATCGAGCAAGGTCCTCGGGTCCGGAGGTACGACGATTGCGGCACTTTATATCACTTTGCAGGTCGTTTTCATATCTGTTGCGGGCACGCCACGTGCCTGGTTGGCGGAAGGTAGGGGCTGATTCCTGGGTTTGTGTACAAGGGGACAAGCTGCGAATGGCGGTCCTGGGGGTGCAGGAGGAAGGGCAGGCCTGTTGGGAGGAAATGTGGTAGCTCGGGAAGCCAGGCTTGGAGGGTTGGTACTGAATCCTATGGCACCGGGCACGGGGATTGCCATGGGAAGGCTTGGTCTATGAGATGAGGCGGTTGGTTGTCACTGGTGGGTCCCAGTCAAATGTGGGGAGAAGGGTTACCTTGCGGTGGTTCCAAAGCCGCTAGTACATTCAGCGCTAGCTACATCGGCAACGGACAGGAACAAGGCGGCTTTGGCGTCAAGGCTTGAACGTAACGATTAGGAAGAAGTGTGGGACCGTTGTCACGTACATCAGGGATCACTGGTCATGCGGTGGGTTTTGCATAGGTCGGTGCCGGGCGACTGGTTTTCCTTGGGAACATAGCGCTGGATGGGCGTGCGGAAGGTAGTGTGTTACTCTACTTTCGAGTTGAGTTTGTTTTGGGGGCCTTCTCATGGGCTTGGGGCAATTCAGGTCAGGGAATTGGTGAGGGCCTTTCGGGTTGGTGTTGGGGGGGTTCTACACTCGGTTGTCGAACTTCAGTCGGTTAAGGTAAGGATTTGGTGGATTGTACAGGAACGGATGTGCTGGTAAAGGAGGTTTGGGGCAGCTATGTTCTTTGCCGGAGCACGGGTATGCCCGGTTTTTCAAATGCATTACACTACGTGGAGATTCGCCCAGACATCCGGGGTGGCTTACTAGTAAAAGGGGACAGAGCGGCAATGTCACAAGTCTAATTCCGGCAGGGGTTTTGTTCGAAGGGGTCTGACGACGTTGGGTTTTGGACCCCGGGCACTTTGGGGCCCATTCCTATCGGATAATGGCGGCGACAGAGGCGTCCCATCTGGGTTTTTAAGGGAGGATCGATGGAATCATTCAGGCAGGTGGGAATCAGTGCGGTTAAGTCCTGTTTACGGCTGGTCTATGTGGTTAAAGGTTGAGATACAAAAGGTTGTGTGCTAAGCTTGATAGCTAATTACTTTCATTCTGGTGGCATGGTAGATGTACCACTTGTTCATCTGAGGGGCGCTGAAGAAAGCTGTGGTACGGGTCAAGAGGCGCAATGGGGCTGTCCTCTGGAAGTGGTGGAGCTGGAGTGGTTGGTTTTTCTCGGGGATTTGTTGGTGGCAAGGCATTAGTTGATAAAATTTTGGGAAGGCAACATAGGGTACGGTTCATGGCATTCGGGTATTCTGCGAGGGCAGGAAGGATAAGGGCATGGTCCCGAAAAGGAATTGATAAGGTAGAGGCAGGGGGTGGTGGGCCGGCAATGGAAGTGGGCCACAGGTGTGGTGGTAGTAGGGCCCGAGATGGTTCCTCGGTTACATTGGAGACATACTAGGGACCCGGTTGTGGTGGCTCGTTATCGAAGACGGA